CGTGAGACAGCGGGACGCAACAAAAAACTGGTGACAGCGGTGGGATACGCCAAATTAGAGAAAAGAAAAATCGTAGCAACCACATAGGTGGGATCGCACAAGAATTAAAGTTAATTAGAATCGAAAATCGCAGTAATAAACAGGTGGAAGGTGCTAAGAGTAGATTCCGAAGCTATATCAACAAAATTGGTGTCATAAGTAGAACACAATTATTGACCGCCGTCAACAAAAACCGGCGACAAATAGGTGGGATACGCTAAAAATCAATATTCAAAATCGTAAGAATTGCGAAAATCAGCCTTTAAAATCATAGCAACGAATAGGTAGGATTGTCAAGATTAGACCGCGAACGCAGAGTTATCATTTCCATTCCCAACAGCATAGCTGCGAAAGTCGAAATGGACACTAGAAGTAAGAAACCAACCACTGAATCGAGCACCGAAGCTCTTGACGCGAAAGCACGGGAGCTAGCCACACGCGAATATGAACTACAGCAAATCGAACGCACTCTCCTAGAGAAAGAAAGACGCATGAAACAACACGAAACCGCTAACGAGCAACGTGCTGCAGCCATGGAGCACGATCGACGAAATTTAGATCGCGAACGTGATCAGATAGTTTCCAAAGCTAGCGAATTAGAACTGCGAGAGAAAAAAGTAGAAAAAAGATGGCACGATTTTGAGACAACGCGATTAGAAGATTCAGCATCTAACATACCTCGCGAAAATAAGCAATCTCGCAATCTTATTCCACACCATACAAGAAGTAACAACTCGTATGATGAAATTCCCTCTCCCAAGGTTTCATTTAAAGAAGCCACGGACTCGGTACCGCACTTCGACGGATATAATATACCATTGGCACAATTTACTAGAGCCTGCAGACGAGCGCGAGACATAATACCCGCATCAGGCGAAAGAAACTTGACGAAATTATTAATTAATAAATTAAGCAAGCGTGCCTATTACGCCGTGGAAGACGAGCCGTGCAATTCGGTGACTGACTTAATAGATTTACTGACGGACGCTTTCGGTACCGCCAAGACTCTAGACCAGTATCGAGGGGAATTAAGTATAATATATTTTCAACCAGGGGAACATATTTTGGATTATATCAGCCGTGTAAAAGATTTAAGAACCGCTATCTTAGACGCTGAAAGACGTGAACACGGAGGTTTAGATGATCATTTTATTGCGGAAATAGATAACTTGACAACGAGGTCTTTCTACGAAGGATTACCCCTAGATTACCGCCTACAAGTAAGTCCATTAACACACCCTCGACACACCGATATGTTTGCTGTGGCCAAGGCTATAGCAAAAAGGCAGGAATGAGACAAACAGAGGTTAGAAACGCGCCCCCGATATGACAGGGAAAGGGAAACGCGACCGTTAAATCCCATAGGCAGACCACTAGCCCACTCGACGCCCCATAAGACTAACCATCTCGACAGATATAACTACGCGAGACAAATGCCAGAGAGACGAGATTACCGTTATGACATTAGGAATCGAGAATTACCACGAGATATACCGCGAAATTATTATCCGCCGCGCTATGAACCTCGACGCGACGCACCACAAACAAATAATTATACGGAACGCTCCTACGGAAACCGAGATAATGGACGAAACGAGCTTAATAGAGATTATGATAAGCGAATCAATAACCGCACAGAACCACCAATATGCAAGTATTGTAAAAACCCCGGTCACACCATAGACGAATGCCGCAAAAGGCAGCATAATAACTCCCATCAAGAAAGGTCGGGAAACCTGTCGGGTCCGTCGGAACACCGCAGCCAGAACCCGACGGACGACAAAAAGAACACGAGACCCATAAGGATGATAGAAACGGAGGAAAAGGAGACAGAGCCCCCTGCGGAGCCCGAATCTCGGTCTTAAATCCCATACAATTCCCTTACGCGCCCACGATCATATTAAGCGCGACAGGTCTTAATCGGGAAGTGAGCTTCATGATAGATACTGGGGCCGCCCCCAATGTTATTAAAAAACGAAATCTAACGTCGGAAATCCTTGTACGCGACGATACGCCACTGTACCTTAGCGGTATAACCAGTGGTCGTATCGAGACCTTAGGGTCAATCGAATTGAATATTATGAATCACCCAGTTTTCTTATATATCGTACCGGACAATTTTCCGATCGCGCAGGAAGGCATCCTAGGATCCGACTTCCTACGCGACGCGACTAATATTAATCTTTTGGAAAAACACATCGAATGGAAAGGAAATCGAATCCCTTTCTCGGAGGGAGAGACTATAACCGTTCTCGCTCGCTCACAAAGTAACTTCTACCTTAGGGTATTAAATAAAATAAAAATAGGATATGTCCCGCAGCTTAGGCTCGACGATGATATATACCTCGGTGACGCCGTAGTCACCAATCGAAATGGAAAAGCATATTTGCGCGTGATAAGTACTAGCGAAACGGACAAAGAGTTATTAGTGCCCCAAATTAATCTCCACGAGATAAGTGAAATTGCGGAAGTTAGACCGTTAGAAGTAGGGCCTAGAGCCGATATTAAATTGATTTCGTCAATCAGTAAAGGGGAACGTTTAGATCAAGTCAAATCACTGCTCAGGTTAGAACACCTTAACGCAGAAGAAACTCGAAATATAGAAAACCTTCTAGATAGGCATAATGACCTCTTTCAACTTCCTACGGAAGAGTTGAGCTGCACTAACGCTATCAAACATAAAATCAATACCACGGATGGACAGGCCATCCACGTTAAGCAATACCGATTTCCCCCAGTGCATAGGGAAGAGATAAATCATCAAGTAGGGAATATGTTGGAACAGAAAATAATAGCGGAATCAGACTCACCCTATAATTCACCACTCTGGATAGTGCCAAAGAAAGCCGACTCAAAGGGTAACAAGAGGTGGAGACTCGTGATAGACTTTAGGGCCCTAAACGAGAAAACCTTCGGAGACGCGTACCCTCTGCCAAACATCACGGACATCCTGGACCAATTAGGTAGCGCGAAGTATTTTAGTGTCTTTGACTTAGCGTCAGGTTTCCACCAAATACCGATGGAAACTGAAGATGCTCAGAAAACCGCGTTTTCAACGCCTTTCGGTCACTATGAGTATAAGCGAATGCCGTTCGGGCTAAAGAACGCACCCGCCACGTTCCAAAGGTTGATGGATAGAGTACTAACGGGATTACAGGGAATCGAGCTCTTCGTCTACCTAGATGATATCGTGATATATGCAAGTAGCCTAACCGAGCACACACAGAAATTTAATAAGCTAGCTGAGAGACTAAGGAAAGCAAACCTTAAACTACAACCAGATAAGTGCGAATTCCTAAGAAAGGAAGTTACTTATTTAGGGCACGTAATTAGTGAGGCAGGAGTAAAACCGGACCCTAAAAAATTGGAGGCCGTAAGAAATTAACCGCGACCGCGTAATGCAAAGAATATTAAGCAGTTCCTCGGATTAGCAGGATATTACCGCCGATTCATTAACAACTTCTCTCACATAGCCAAACCCTTGACATTGTTGTTAAAAAAGGATAAACCTTTTGACTGGCGCGAACCGCAAGAAGAAGCATTTACAAAATTACGTAATTACCTATGCGAGGAGCCTCTGCTCACTCACCCCGACTTTACGAAACCTTTTATCTTAACAACCGACGCTTCCGCCTACGCGATAGGTGGGATACTTACTAGCCAAGGTGAGGTAGGAAAAGATCGACCGATAGCATACGCTTCAAGATTACTTAACAATGCCGAACAAAATTACGCGACAATAGAGAAAGAATCGTTAGCCATAATATATTGCACTAATCATTTTCGGCCTTATCTTTACGGGAATAAATTCACGATATTAACAGATCATAAACCATTGCAGTGGCTACATTCCGTAAAAGACCCTACGTCACGATTAATACGCTGGCGTCTTAAACTCGCTGAGTATGACTACCGCGTC